TTCAATGATCAAGGGAGATTTCAGAAATAATCCATATGAAATAATGAGTTTAGTATAGGCAGTACTTGAAGTTTAAAAAAGAAAAATAGAAAAAAGTACCTCACTTCCCCTTCCTTGGTTCTGTAGGTGCTTTTATAAAATCCATTTAAATGCCCCGAGAGATGGCCAGTGTAGTCAATGACAACTGTGTACGGGAGCCCAACCACCAAAGGCTCGGAAGCCACAAGTGCGATTTGCTCGTGAGGCGGGTATTCCAGGACTGTCAAGGGTTCTGCAGTCAGCCTCTCTCCAACTCTCCTCCTGAGGGTGGCCTTAGATACTTGCAGAAGGTGACTGTGCAGGATGATGGCACTTGTAGGCCGGCTGGCTGCAATTTCTATTTCCGTGGTTCCCTCAAAAGTCAGAGTGGTGAGATTTGCGTGGATCATGAGATCGTAATGAACTGGGACAATGTGCTCAGGAAGTCGTATTTTATCCCAAGGGAATGGTGTCCCATTGGTAGCTTTCGGAGACGTAGTGTCACGGCTCTGACACCAGGAAGGAGTTGACACAGTTAAGAGAAGCAAGAGTGAGGACGATAGAAATGGCATGGTTGCAAGTGGCCATGTGACGGATGGAGATATCATCTTCTTGCTCAGACCACCTGGTGGCACAAATGTATAACCCCCCCCCAAAAAAAATTGAGTCACTGAAATACTATATGGAGATGGCATAATTTCACAATATATCTACCCAGGATTAACATATAGAGATACAAACTTTCAAAAGTTCTAGGTCTTTACCTGAAAGGAGTATTATCTTCCCTATATTGATTCCTAGAAGAAAGAAGTGAATGGTCAGCAACAGTCTTCACACCTATGAAAAAGTACCAGTTGACTTTTCAAGTTTAAATGAACTCTATCAGTCAGGGTTCTTGGTCGAGAGAAATAGAACAAGGTCCCTAAGTAAGCCACCAAAAGGGTCACAGAGGTGTCAGGAGGATTGGAAAACAGGCCAAGAGACAGCCAGCCAGAAGCATATCAGAGAAATTGAGCAGTGACCACCCCCCGCCCCCAATCCACACTGGACCTTGGAGGAAGCTGCCCTGCTGCCTGAAGATCAGATGCAGGACCCTGCTGCAGCCACTGCCAATGGGAAGTCTCTAACTGCCCCTGCAACTTGGCAGTACCTCTTTCAGCTGAGATAAGGTATCCACACTACCAGTCAGGGAGGTGGGAAAAGCAAGAATCTGGACTTCACAGCTTCTGCAGGACAAGTCTGGCTCCCCACCAAGTGTACGAGGTAAAGAATCCCCACATATAGGAGACATGGGAAGGAAACACAGCTGCTGAGCAGCAAGGGGACGGGGAGGCAAGTATCCATTAACAGTAACCCTTAATAACAGCAGTGTCTTTGTCAAATGTCACGCCAAAGGTTCATCTAACACGTATTTAGCCAGGAATGACTTAAAGAGTTTATGGTGATTTCCTCACCAATAGTTTGTGACAAACCTAACAGCCTCCTGGATCCTCTCTGACAATCATCCAACAAATCTACGTTGAATGCCCACTCCACACAAGGCCGTGTGCGGAGCACGGGCTGGGATATAACAATACACAAGACACAAATCCCACAGCTTTCAAGGACTCCAAAATCCAGCAAGACAGAAAACACTCATGCACAAATGATAGAATGCAACAGAGCCAAGTGTGGAGCGTCTTCGGAATAATCATAAAAGGTAGTGCTGGGGCAGAAGGGAGAGCGTGCCACGGGCTGCACAGCGACTCGGGGATGCCTTCGTGCAAGACCAGCATCGAAGCAAGTTTGGAAGGACGGGTTGGATTTAGAAATGAAGGGAGGCCACTGAAGCCACTGCAGGTGGAGCAAACCAGGGCAAGAGTGAAAGCGCAAAGGGACAAAGTAGAGGGCTGGCTGGGCAATCAATCCATCCGGATGGGGAATGATTATTCACGGGGCGAGGAGGAGAGGGACTCCACAGGGATGCTCAAAGCACGCTGGGAGTCCTGCTGCAGACTCTATCTTGGTCTTTATTGACGAGGCCTTAGGACACAAGAGGAAGGTGAATTACAAGACAGTTGGCAACCATGGCTGAGAGCACTGCCAATGGGAGGTCTCTAACTGCCCCTGCAACTTGGCAGTACTTCGCCAAGCTGTGAAGTCCAGATTCTACGCACGTTTCCCTCTTAGACAAAGAACCTCTCTAAGGGGTATTTGCCGGGACTCGTCTGCTAGTGAGCCCAGGTAATTGGTCCTAATTCTCTCAAGCTCTTTGGGCTCCTGAACATACAGAGCAGATGAGAAAGTGGTGGGACGACAGTGCGGTACATGGGGCTCCACCTCTAGGTCAGCGGTTCTCTACTCCGGCTGCATATAAACATCAGCGGGGAAGGGGAAGCTTTTAAAATGACCGATGCCTGGGTCTCTATCTAGAACAATTAAACTGAAATCTATGGTGATGAGGTCAGGGCACCAGAATTTTAAAAAATCTTCCTAGAGATTCTATTGGAGAGCCAAGCAGAGAACCTCCTGGATAATCCTTGCGACGGCCTGGTCTTAACCTTCTTTAACCCTATGTGGGGCTCTCGCCAACCCCTCTCTCTCCATCCTGCTCCCCTGCCAAAAACACAGCCATAGGGGCCTACACCCTGCTTCCCCACAAAGCAGACCTGCAGGCACATAGACTACCAACACAGGCGGTAAGCACCGAAGCACCATAACCTCAGTTCAAAAGGTACCACCCAAGGGGGACGCCTGGGTGGCTCAGCAGTGGAGCATCTGCTTGGCTCAGGGCATGATCCTGGGGTCCGGGGATCAAGTCCCACATCGAGTCCCACATCGAGCTCCCTGCATGGAGCCTGCTTCTCCCTCTGCCTGTGTCTCTGTCTCTCATGAATAAATAAATAAAATCTAAAAAAAAAAAAAAAAAAGGTACCACCCAGATGCATCAGAAGAGAGAATCAGAGGGTCAAACCTATTCCAAGCGTAAACAGGGAAAACTGGTTTTTTTGTTTATGTGTTTCTTGGGTTTTGGTATGTGGGTAGGAACCAACGAAAGGATGTTTCCAGCCACGGAGAACTGAAGCAACCTGAAGAAGAATAAAGTTTTAAACACCAAAATAGTAAAAGGTTCCCACTTTTACTCCCTCAGCAGATTTCTAGCACAGGGCTAACACGATGGATCTCCCTTGAAGTTGGGACATGAGAAATAAAGGGAACTTGAGTGATGTTTCCTTTTTGAATTTCTGATGGCAGGAGCTTTGTGAGTGCAATGAAGGCGGCAGGTTCAGGCCTGCGAGGGCCCCAGATGGCCCCAAGTATTCCCGAGAGTCCAGGAGGAAATCTAAAAATCCCATCTGGTTCTGAGCGGGCAGCAAGGCCTACAGGCCCCTAAAGGAGTTGGCAGTGGGACCTCCCGGCCAAGGCTTTACAAGGTTGAGTCCATAAGGAGGTGGAGTCAAAGAGAACACGACTGTGCCTCAAAAGAGATGTAATGCCAGGAAACCACTAGGGAACATTCAGTGTAGACGGCATAAGTATCTAGAACCATAGCTATGTTAATAATAATCCATATTACACTTATAGTCAGAAAAGAAAAACTGGCTTTGAGTTCTTGCTCTGGCACCTACTGTGCGACCTGGGACAGGTTATTTAATCCCTGCTGCGTTCTTTTCATGTGTAATTTGAGAAAATAATAATACCTCTCTCATAGCATTGTTGTAAAGATGGGGTTAAAATCTTTGCAACCATCCATCCCACCAATATTTACCAAAATCTTTGCAATCATCCATCCCACCAATATTTACTCTTATGTGCCAAGGATTTTGCTGGACACCAGCAATATAAGACATCACAGATCCTTGACCTCAAACTGCTTACAGAGCTGGGGGCAGGGGGAATTTTAACCATGACTAGGGCTCTGGGGAAAAAAAAAAAAAAAAACAAACTGCAAGAGAATAACAGGGCAAGGGGATCAACCCTGGGGGTTCTCTGAGAGTATTTTAGCTGAGATTTAAAGGACGAAATCAAACTACCTAAGAGAGAGAAAGAGAGTTTTCCAGACCGAGGGAAGAGCAAGCATATTTGTAGGCTCAGAGGCAGTAGAGTCCTGGTTATGAAAGGCCAGTGACCCTAAAGCAGAACATGCTGCAGAGATGCACGTGGAGCCGCAGATGGGACCAGACCCCACGCAGCCTGGAGGCGTGGGAAGGCTTCTGACTCCCAGCCTAGGCACAGCGAGAAGCCACTGGGTTTTGAGCTAGAAGGTCTCAGGATCCAGGTCACACTTTAAGAAGCCATGTGGATCAAGAAAGGAGCAGGAGGGATGCCTCAGAAACCAGTCAGAGAAGTGGTCTAGACAAACTAAGCTGGTGGCTTGTACTCTAGTGGTGTCACCAGAGAGAGCGAGGGAGGGGAGAGACAGAGAGAGGGAGGGACTCAACATCTCCATTTGGGGTGGACTGCAAGGGGGGGGGTGGTGGTGACAAAGAACACATCAGGATGGCTGCCAGGCTTCTGGAATGAACATCTGGGTAGTCACGGGTGCCATTTACTGAGACGGAGAAGACCAGAGGTGGGACGGTTTTAAGAGAGGAGAGGTCGACCAAGGATTCATTTTTGAAATATGTTTGTGAGGTCTCTGCGATACGCACGGAAAATACCCGCAGGCAGGTGAATACACAGGCTCAGAGTCCAGGGAGAAAGGTTTCCAAGGACCTGCCACGCATCTGCCTTTGGCCTCTGATCTCACTAAATAAAGCATCTTTCGGGGTCAAGGTTGTGGTAACAGGGTACCTGACTTCCCTGAGCCGCCAGCAAGAGTTCCAGGCACTTTAGGAAACTTTACCGAGGCTGCTGCCTCTGCGGATTAGGACTTTTCCCCCCCACGGGGAAGGCAGGGGCAACTGACCCTGGGTTAGCTCACCCTCCCTTTATGGGAACCCTACTCAGTGGGAAATCTACCACCGAAAGGTAACCGACCTTCTTCCAAAATGTCCCAAACGATGACATCATCAAGCGTTGCAGTAGCTTGTCACCGCTGGTAAACAGACAAAAACGTTGAATTCACTCAAATTGTCTTTAACCAACTGGAATTCTTTCATTTAGACCGACCTGCACATGGGCTCTGGGATCAGCACAAGTTCCAATCCTTGGGGAAAGAGAACACCACTGGGCCTGTATTTATTTTTTTTTTTAAGTTTTTGTTCTTGTTTTTAACTGACCACATCCTGAGTTGAGAGCAAACACTCTGCAGAGAGCTGAGCCTTTCTTTCTGAACGTGGCCCTACAGAGAAACTTCCAGGGACACTAAGGAAGCGTCCAGGCCTCTCCCTCCGAGAAGTCACCCTGCAGGGCCCCCCACCCCCACCCCGACCCCCACCCCCCCAGCCCGGCGGGCAAGGCGCCGGCCCCGCAGGGACTGGAAATTGCTCAACCCGAGAACCTGCTTGGGGTAAAACCCCAGAGGGGAGCGGAGCGGAGGGGGGGCCGGAGCTCTGGGAACCAGGACGCAGAGGCAAGGAAAGAGCCCGTCGGGGCGCCTTCTGCCTCCCATCCCTCAGCACCGTCCAGCTCAGCCCGGCCACCTGCTTTCTCTGGCAACCATCCCCGCCCAAGGCACCCCCACCCCCACCCCCACCCGCGGCACCCCCCCAGCCCACATCTGGCGCTGCGCGGAGGCTGGGAGTGGGGCCAGAGGGAGGAGGGGGGCCGAGGGGGGAGCGGGGAGCGGGGCCTGGGGAGGAGCGGGGGGCGGGGCCGGGGAGGAGCCGGTGGGGCCTGGGGTGGAGCGGGGGGGCTGGGGAGGTGGGGGGAGCCTGGGGAGGAGCCGGGGGGGAGCCTGGGGAGGAGCGGGGGGGTGCGGGGGTCCAGAGGGAGGAGCCGGGGGGAGCCGAGGGGGGGCTTGGGGTGGAGCGGGGGGGGCTGGGGAGGTGGTGGGGGTGGGGAGGTGCCGGGGGTCCAGAGGGAGGAGCCGGGGGGAGCCGAGGGGGGCCTGGGTAGGAGCCAAGGAGCTGGGGGCGAGGACTGGGGAGGAGTGGGGGCCTCGGAGGAGCGAGGGGGGGGGCTGGGGAGGAGCCGGGGAGGAGCCGGAGGGGCCGAGGGTGGGGCTTGGGGGGCCAGGGGGGTTGCCGGGGGGCCGGAGAGGAAGCGGGGGGGGGGGACCAGCGGCGAGGCGCTCCGAGGGGGCAGCTCCCGCCTGCCGGGAAGAGGCGCGCTGACCCTGCGCCCCCCGCACCCCCACACCCCGGCCGCCCCCCGCCTCCCTGCGGACTCGGGCCCAGGTCCCACGGCCCCCCCAGCCCAGCCCTCTGCGCCTCCCTCGCCTCCGCCGCGCGCCCCGGCTCCCCGGCCGCCCCCGCGGGCCCCAGCAGGTGGCCGGCGCCGAGCCCCTCTCGAGCCCCTCTCGAGCCCCGCAGCGCGGCCGGGGGGTCGGGGGGCCGGCGGGGTCCCCGGGTTCGACCCGCCGTACCTGGGGGCCCGCCGCTGCCCCGCTGGCCCTCGCGCCGCCGCGCCCGCCTCCCCGACCCGGGAACAGAAAGCGAAAGCGGAGAGGGCGCCCCGGAGGAGGCGGAGCTGGCAGGCGGCCCCGACCGACCCCCGCCCGGGACGGCCCCGGAGGCGCGCTCGGCGCGGGGCTCCTCCGCGACCGCGGGGCTTCCTCCGAGGGCTCCCGGGCTCTGCGTCTCGGCGCCCCGCGGGCGGCGCCCCAGGGAGCCCGGCAGGTGGCCCGGGCGGGACCGAGGTCGCTCGGCGATGGGCAGGCTCGGCCTCCGCAAGGCCCGGAACCCGGACCATGGGGCGAAGCGCTCAAGCCTCGGGGTTGGGGGGGCACGCCTCCGGGCAGAAGGGGGATTACAGGTAGCCCCCCCCCCGACTGCCCCCCACGGCCCAGGGGCACTTGGGCCGCGAACATTTACATTAAAACGGTTGCTCTGGGGGCCCCTGGGTGGCCCCGGGGTTGAGCGCCTGCCTTTGGCTCAAGGGGTGACCCCCGGGTCCCGGGATCGAGTCCCGCATCGGGCCCCCTGCATGGAGCCTGCTTCTCCCTCTGCCTGTGTCTCTGCCTTTCTCTCTCTCTCTCTCTCTGTCTCTCGGGAATAAATAAAATCTAAAATAAATAATTAAAACGCCTCCTCTGCTTTCTCACATCAAATGACCATTTCTGCTCTCCCCTTAGAACGTTAAGACTGGATGAAAGGTCCAGAAGAGCCCAGCTTTGAACAACTGAGGGTAAATGAAGTAACAGGACAGGAAACCTCAAGCTTTCATATTGACCAAATGCTACAAGTTGGTGAGTGGGACCAACCGGTCTGGGACCTTTTCCCTACTGTCCTCAGCCTTTCCCCTCTCATTTCTTTCCTAACCTCCTTCCCTTTGGTTCCAAGACGCTGGTACCGTATTTCTCAACCTTTGTTTCTCAATTTTACGTTCCTTTTGAAAAATAGCAAAATGTATTTTATTCTGGGGAATCTCTCCAGTTAAGGGTATTTTGTAATATAGAATTAGCATTCCGTCCCCAGCCCCTAACAGGGTGAGATCTAGGTAAGCGTTTTCATTCTATTCCAGTAAGAAATGGGCTTTGGGATTAGGTGATTGTTTTTCATTTGCGATTGTGGCAGGGGTTCAGCGGGTAGCTGTAGCCTCCAAGGCCTCCACATGTCTGCGAGTGATCCAGTCTGCTCCGATGAGAACTTCTTGTCCTGTAAACTCATGCATGCTTTGTGGATCTGGAGGGGCAGATGGAAGATCACCAACCCAGGCACACTGCATAATAGCAGGTGTCCCCTAAGAATCTAACAAACTATGTTGCGGGGACTGTGATCACTCTCCAATTCACCTGTTCACTGAAAGCGATAAATAATGCCAACAACCCCACGTCGTGTTCAGTATGCATGTAATTAAAAAGATGGAAAAGAAAAATAAAACCACCAAGATGACCAGTGACATTTTATTTTATTTATGATAGTCACAGAGAGAGAGAGAGAGAGAGAGAGGCAGAGACACAGGCAGAGGGAGAAGCAGGCTCCATGCACCGGGAGCCCGACATGGGATTTGATCCCGGTTCTCCAGGATCGCGCCTTGGGCCAAAGGCAGGCGCCAAACCGCTGCGCCACCCAGGGATCCCGACCAGTGACATTTTAAAGACTCATTTCTATGTCGTATCAGTGAAGGTTTGATCACAGAGAACAGAATCCATTCAAGCTGTTTAATTAAAAAAGGATTTATTGCAGGCTTTTACATGACTTACATAATCAACGGGAAGGTTTAAAGAACACACGCTAGGGGGAGCTTCCAAAAACAAATTCCAAGGCCCTAGTGTAGAACTTGGCCACCATTGAAACTAGTTCTCTTGCCACAAACTCGGAAGCCATCTGCTAAATTGGGCAACTGCTAGCACAGGTGATGGCTTCAGAACCGTGTCATGATGTTAGCGTCCAGCAAAATGAGTATCTCAAGCTGGGTTTCTCTCCCTACTTAAAACCCAGTTTCAAATTCAACTCTTTTACCGGTGCTTTTGTTTGGCAGAGCCTAATGCACACCCAGAACCTAGGAGCGAGGAGATCCAGGGGATGGATTTGCTTTCCAGACTCTGCAGCGGAGTGAGGAATTCTGAAACGAGGTTGGAAGATGTGCTGAGCAAGCCAATCAGAATGTTCACCGTCAATATTAAGCTGTATTGAAACTGGGCAAATAGAAAAGAAAAACCATCGTAAGGAGATCTCAAGTAATTTGGAATGTCTTTATGGATTAAAAAAAATTGGGATATTGATTGTAAATCTAACTTATGAGAGGCATGGGGCACTTGGGAGTGTGATGAATATTTTTACCTCTGTGACTTAAACATACTACAGGCATCAAGTTATGGTTTATTATGTTTGAGGTCTCTAGGGGCTTTTCTCCCACCTTTTGTCTGTTCAGCAGGTGTGCTTCCCCTCCTCGTAAATGCATAGCCACATGCCTCAATCTCAGTCTAGGCTGCACTCAGCAACCCCTTTCTCTGGCCACAGTGATTGGTCTGAGTGACACACAGGCTGGCTGGGTCTGAGAACCCAGAAGGGGGCCTGCGGACCAGCCACGACCATCCTTGACTTCATGCAGGATAGAAACAAACCAAAAGTCAAGGGGAAGTGAGAGCAGAGTTTACTGAAAATCTAGACAGAGTAGAGATACAGACAACATCTGGGAAACTCGGAAAGGAGACTGAGTCTCATCTTTGCTTGGGGTCTGGGGGTTTTATTGAGAATTGTGGTCTGATCTCAGGCAGCCAGGAACTGATCAAAACAAGGACCAGTAGGGCAGCCTGGGTGGCTCAGGGGTTTAGCCCGCTGTCAGCCCAGGGCGTGATCCTGGAGACCCCAGGATCGAATCCCACGTTGGGCTCCCAGCATGGAGCTTGCTTCTCCCTCTGCCTGTGTCTCCGTTCTCTCTTTCTCTCTCTCTCTCTCATGAATAAATAAATAAAATTTAAAAAAGAAAAAAAGGACCAGTGCTCAAGCATGGTCCCTAAGTCACCCATGCTCTAGAGCCCAGGGTCCTGGCGCCAACGTGTCTGAAAAACATACAGGATGACCTCAACTGGTCACTCCGTAGATACTCTCTTTTGTGCTGGAAGACTCAAAAAAAAAAAAAAATCATTAACTCCTTGACCTTTACACGGGGAGGACGTACCTTAACTGTACAGTAAGGCATGTGTAAAAGTGGGGGTGCAGGTCCTAGCAAGGAGAGAAGCAGGAAAAGGAGCAAAAAAATGCAGTTCTTCCTGGAGTCAAGCTTCCAGGAAGCTTCAGCTTCCCTGTCTCCAAGGATTGGCACAGGACAAAAGCCAGGCCAGTCAGTGGCCTTGCCAAGCATTATACTGGCTGGTGCTGGCAGGGAAGCCTCTTTTTTTTTTATTCCTCTTGTGGCCTTAGAGTTAGCGTCCAAATTCCCACTGTGGGGCAGGGCCTAAGAACATGAAACCCACACCAAAAAGGAGAAAAAGAGAAATAAGAGGCAGAGTTTAAGAGCTCCCTTTGTTGGGCAGCCTGGGTGGCTCAGTGGTTTACCACTGCCTTCAGCCCAGGGTGTGATCCTGGAGACAGGGGATCGAGTCCCACGTCAGGCTCCCTGCATGGAGCCTGCTTCTCTCTCTGCCTCTCTCTTTCTCTCTGTGTCCCTCATGAATAAATAAAAAATCTTAAAAAAAAAAAAAGAGCTCCCTTTGTTGTGCAAATGTTCTGATTTCACCCTCAGGCTTGAAGCTGGCTCCTCTGGAAGGCTACTTCTTCCAGGCCCCCCAGCGTCCTTCCAATAAACCAGCCCTCTTGGATAAAGACTGATTGAACTGGCTATCAACTGCATGCAATTTTAAGAGAGATAACAAATCACAGTCTCAATTTTATAACCCACTAGCTCTATGAGTCACTTGATGGAACATAATGTCCTTCGTGTCCCATGGGAAACGTGGGATTTTTTTTTTTCACCCGCCCTTAGCTTCCCATACATTGTTTGAAGTTGACTGACCTAAATTTCAAGGAAGCCTAAACCTGAACTGCATTTCTAATCAACCAACTGGATTGAAGTCATTTTGATAATGTCACTCAATTTCAGATAAGCAGCCCCTAAGAACAACTGCATTTTTTGACAGGCTCCTTGATAAAGCTGCTGCAGCACAATCGCCGACGTCTTCACTCTACACTTGTCTGCTGTGTAGTCTGGAGAGCCCCAGAAATTTCCCTGGCAGTGGGAAGCAACCAAAAGAAGAGTACTGTGACAACAGGAAGGGGTCAGGCTTTGTAAGGGGTCAGGCTTTGTAAGTGTGTGTGTGAGAGAGAGACAGAGACAGAGGGGAAAAGTTGAATCAAAATCTTTTCCTACCACTAACATTCAGGTGTATTTCTTTTACTTACCTTGAAGTTAGTTTCTTCAAAGCTCAGTTAATACTCTAAGTTTGAAAGGCAAAAACCCTGCCCCAGAATCTGTCTTTTCAGGCATTGCAAGACCAGATCAGATCATCAGATCAGCATTTAGAAATATGGCACATGAAAAAAACAAAAACAAAAAGGAAATATGGCACATGAAATAATCACTCTCAAAGATGGTTTAAATCAGGGATGAGTTCTGAGGATTGACATCCATCTTTCAAAACACTGCGTGCCTTCTGCGTGCACAGTATTCTGATATTGTGTGAATGATACCGTTGCCTTCCAGGACATCATCAAAAAAGTGAGCATGTAATAGATTTTCATCAGCCATGGATTTAATATTCAGTTTTGGCTATGGGGGTGTGGGGGAGGACTTGATATCTAGAATTTGAATAGTTGGTAATTTCCCTGGGCCATGAATTAGAATTACAATGAACTGATGTGAGAGAAGGAGCCAAGTGGCCCTTGAGTGGACCAGCCCCACACAGAATCCCCACCCCAATCCAATCCTGTTGTAATAAAAAATCTAAAAACAAAAAAGAAAATTGAGGATGCATTTCTAAAATTTCACTCAGGAGCTTGAAGTGGTCCCAAAATTTTAAAATGTATTTTACAAGAGAAAATATGTACTCAAGTGTGTTTAAAATTGCAGTCCTGCAAAAGCCTTGCAAAAATTTGCTCTACAGATTTCTCTGTCGGCAGATCTAGAAGAAAAGCAGGCCTAGGCCTCTGATCACATGTACCCAGCAGAAACATGAGGTGAAGAAAGGGGCAGAAGGATTCCTTACCTATGACCAGGTCCTGGTGGTCATGTCGTACACCTAGATAAGTACCAAAGCCAAAGCAAGAAAAAGCTAAATCTAGGAGTTCTGTGAAAACTAGGAGATGAAACGTATAGTTCAAAGGGGAGAAGACAAAGCAGTAGGAAATCTGAAACTGGTAAAAGCACGAGGGGCCAAAGAGAGCACATCTCAGTAATAAAAACTGGTATATTTTGAGCATTTCCTACGTGCCGAGCACTGTGCCAAACACTCTATGTGAAGTGGGTCATTTAATCCTCAACAACACTCTAGAGTATGTTCCATTATTATTTCCAGAAAACAAACACAAACAAAACCCCAGAGACTCTGTAAGTTAAGTAACTGCTGGGATATATAGGTAGGAAGTGACTGAGCCAGATTTGTGGTGGAACCAGGATGAATCTAGAGATGAAGAGCTCCTTCTTTTCAAATCTCTCGTAGTATAGGTTTACTTGCTTGCCGTTTTGGTTTAAAAGGGTTCAGTGAGGGCTAAGAGCTTGACTTCAATCTAGTCACCGGAGCTATAAGCCATCATCATCTAGGACCTTTGTTCCTTTACCCCTCAACTTTACCAGGGCTTATCAATATTACTTCCAAAGGGTGTCTTGAATCTTTCTCTTCCTCTTCATTCCTATTGCCTCCAGTCATCTCTTAACTAGTACTTTAACTTCTAACTTCCTCTTCTTTTTTTTTTTAAGGATTTTATTTATTTATTCATGAGAGACAGGGAGAGAGAGGCAGAGACACAGGCAGAAGGAGAAGCAGGCCCCATGCAAGGAGCCTGATGTGGGACTCGATCCCGGGTCTCCAGGATCAGGCCCTGGGCCAAAGGCAGCGCTAAACTGCTGAGCCCCCCGGGCTGCCCAACTTCCTCTTCTTCAATCTGGTTTCTATACTGGCATCTGTCCAAGCTACCGTCCTAGGGGCACCTGGGTGGTACAGTCAGTTAAACATCTGGCTCTTGGTTTTGGATCAAGTCATGATCTCAAGGTCATGAGATGAAACCTGAGTTGGGGCTCTGCACTCAATGGGTAGTCTGCTTGAGGATTCTCTCTCTCCCTTCCCCTACTCTCTCTCTCTGTCTCCCTCAAATAAAAAAAAATCTTTAAAAGAGGAAAAAAAAAAGGGGTAGGGGCAGAATCCCTGGGTAGCTCAGTGGTTTGGTGCCTGCCTTCGGCCCAGGGTGTGATCCT